TATCCCTAGAACTCCACATCATCGAGAGACACACAACATATTTGTTGCTAATGTATCACAACTCACTATGCATATAAACAATTACACCAAGCAATTGAATAGCTCTCAAATTCATGCAAATGTATGTAACAAACACATTGAAATGCAGCATATAATTATGCAATAGAATTAAGCAATCAAACATATGCAGAAAGGGTTACACACAGACGTTTGTAACTAGATTTACTCTCAATAAACCTCACTAGGGGTCATCACTCGACCCTATAGCCACAATGTTTATCCTTTTACTTATCTTCTCTTTGGGACAGTCCCTGATAAAATGTCCAGACTTACCACAACTGTAGCACTATCTGTCACTAGATTTGTCATGTCCTTTCCCCTTCTTTTTATCATCTCGATAACTCGAATTACAACTATCTTGAGTTTTACCCAGATTCATTTGCTTAAACTTTATTCTACTCATCATCATATGTAACTCACCACTCTTCTCATCATCTTTTTTAGCCTTAATCTCCATTTCCTTACTCTTAAGGGAATATATGACAATCTAGGGTGTTAAGGTGTCCGTACCATATTTAATTGCATTCTTAACCTCTTTATATGAATCAGGTATTGAGTTAAGCAAGATAATAGCCTTATAAGTTTCAGACACATTTTTATCATAATTAACAATACCTTGAATAAGATTGTTAAAAATATTTAAATTGTCATCAAGATCCTTTGAATGATCCATTTTAAAATTGAAAAACATTTCAAGCAAGTACAACTTATTTGGAGTAGGTTTAAGTAAATATAAGTCTTTCAATTTTTTCCAAAATTTTTTTGTGGTATCAAGTTTATCAACCTTTCTCAAAACAGCATTTGACACATGTAAAATAATGAAAGTGTAAGCAAGTTCGTCATATTCTTCTTTTTGTTCTTTTGACAAATTTTAAAAAAATTACCATCGATGGCTTTTGAAACCTCTTATTGAACCAAAATTTCCTTAACTTTTGTTATCAAATTGAAAATCACCTCTCCCATTGAAAATTTTAACTTCAAAATATGAAGACATTTTGAAAAACAAAACAACCAAAGTGCACAAAATAGGTCACACAAAGTAATTCTAAGGCCGTAGTATACACCGTTCTAGATTTTCAGGGTTTCGTAAGATTCACGATCTTAGATCAAGGGAATATTCAAACAAGTCAAGTTTATGTATTCTAACAGAATAATTAATACAACATAAAGGTATGTCAAAAAATTCAAATTTTCACACAATGCAGTCTTACACAGTGAGTAGACGACGATTAGAGTATAAAATCAATTACCAACTTGCAATCAAATTCAACACTTCAAATATGGCAAATAATTCTAAATTTCTAGTACAAGCAATGATTACCTTTTACGGTAGCCCAATCATAATGTCGACCCACAAAATGACGCGTTAATGCTGAAATTTAAATGGATAAGCCAATTTATCGGAGCGGACCAATCCGAGTCCGTAAATAACAAGAGATACAAGTTTGTTACTTTAGGACCATCACTATTCATCCTAAAGTCTTAGCAAAAGCAGCAACGCAATCAGGCAAATTTCAGATCCCGAGCAACCAAGGACGAAATTATCTAGATTTTTAACAATAGAACCCGAAGTAGAAAACTAATAACACCAAAAAGTTAGAAAAACAATAAGGGTCAAACTTCCTGAAGAAAGCTTCCTTGGACGATACTGGACTCGCCTCCTTGCGTCGGTGTTGGAATCTCCATGCACCATCGTTGTTGGCAGCTGTCACCCAGCACTGTTTCCATCTGCAAAACGAGAATTCGGTCTCCATTTCACCAAATGACCTCTAGATTGGTCGAAAATCAAGATTGAAGGTTCGACTTTTGGGAACTTTTGGACAGTTTCGATCTGACAGATTTTCTACTTCAATTTTGGCAGAATTTCGATCAAAATCTCATCACCATTGTGGCTCTGGTACCAATTGTCGAGGAATGATGGCCATCAAGGTGTATTTTCGAGCTCAGTATAACAATCCCAATCCTATTAAACACCCAAAATCTCGACCTAAAACTTTCAACTAGTCCATACTCTGTTTGCTTTTGATTGTACCAACTTAAGACACAAAAGAGAAGGTGTTTTGCAGCCATAAAACCAACCACAAAAGTCAAGAAGAGAAGGTAGTCGTGCAGTACAAAAGAGAAAAGAGAGGAAAGCAGTTTTCTTCAAGAGACAAGGACAATAATACACATGAACATCAGGACCAATGCAACAATATATAAGTAACATTAGGTATAAGAGTGGACCAAGTCCAATCCAATACATGGGTCAAATAAAACGAGGGGTGGGTCAATTCTTGTAAGCCTTCCAAAGGAGTAGGACAAGCTAAAATTAGGTCATTGTAAATGGCCCCAAATAGTTTTCGGGTTGTGTCATCAATATTAGGTGTCAATATTTAATTTAGTAATCAGGACAATGTCGACTGAAAATTTCAATGAGTAATATCATAACCCAAAATTTATTGGATATCAAAACCCAACAGAAAAGAAGGTAGAGGAGATGCCAGATAGAAGAAGTAAAAGAAAGTCAAAGGAAAGCCCTAAAGAAACCCCTCAAAAAGACAAAAAATCGTATGTGTAAGCAAAAAAATGTTTGCAAATAAGGCATAATTTATTTTTTTTTTTGTTCATTTGAGTTATATGTATGTAATTCAAAATTGATGGATAACAAATATTGCAAGTGTATTGGACATTTGTGACATTTATTCGATTCAATTTTAGTAGCTAATGAAATGGGTGAGGGCTTCCATTTGAAAGTATTGTTTTATAGAAATTGATATTTTTTCTATTAATAAATGATTAGTGACCTACAATATGTTGTATGTGACCTACCAATCCAATTGCAACCATGGTTTTTATGGATTTATGAATTAAATGAATATCATTTTCTGTATTCGTGACCTTATTTACATGATTATATACTATTATAAGTATTTGTGACCCGATTTAGTTTTCTTTTCCAATATGTGACCTGGTTGTATACAATTTATGTATTTATGACCTAACTTACCAGATTGTCCGAGATTCTATATGTCTGTGCCTAGATTTAGAGGGTGTTTGAGCCCCAATTTTATGAAAAAAATGCATTTTAGTACAGTAGATTGATGGAAATGTGTGGTTGAAAAATAAGGAAAAGTTTTTTTATTTATGTGTAATATTTTTTAATAAAAAATGTGCGATTGAAAAGAAAAGAGAGAAAAATATATTTTGAAAATAATGAGAATCAAACAAGGCCTTAGTTTACGTTTCCAATATGTAATCTGATTGAAAACCATTATTTGTGACTTGATTTACAATCTTGTCTATCATTATCAGTATCTGTGACCTCATTTATTGTACCATTCTAGATTTGATTTTAATATATTTTCATCAAACACGTGATGCAGGTGTGGAACTTCAGCACACCACAAGATAGTTTGTTTTGAGGAAGAAATTACTATTTTCATAAGAATAGGTATTCTGACGAATCTTAAAATACAACAACGTGAAGCCAAACGACGTGGGAACATGCTTCGTGCAATATAACCACACTGTTCTATAAACATGAGGAGATTAGAAAGTCGACAAAACGGAGGAACCTTACAAATGGGGAGAGATAGTTGAAAATACATTCGAAAATCAAGATGATAAAGGGATTTGTAAAGTTTATGAATACTAACTTCATTTTATTTGTCCTTTTTAATATTGTGCGTGATGGAACTAATTGTAATGGAAATGAAACTATTGTTGTACAATGAGGAGTTGAAAACTTGTTTAGTTTAGTATTTAAGCAGATGTTTGAAATCTTATATTACTCTATTGTCATATTTCATTTGCACTTGATAAATGAAAGAGGTTTTTGGTACAATTGCACAGGTCACATATTATAATATATTGGTCACATATTTCTATCATTAGGCCACACATTATATTACACAAGACATATGTTAAACTACTCAATTCACAAGTTATCTAGCATCTTTTAATCTGCACATGTCATAAAGTAACTTTATAGGTCACAGATTGTTATCAAATGCTCTCTCTCTCTTTCTCATACACACACACGCGCGTACACACACACACACAAAAGTTATCCTACTCAGTTTTGAACAAACATTTACAACTAATTCATATTTATAAGTCACAGATTATGCTACTTATTTCATTATACACAAGTCATGGAATCCAATGCAGTGGTTTCATATTGCTGTCATTAGGTCACAAAGTATACTACACAAGTCACAGTTTATTATACACATCTCATGGGTTGCATAGGTGTCTGTCCATGGGTCACGATTTACTAAATTGGTCACATATTACAATATCAAATCATAAATTATGCTTCATGTGTCACATAATATTAATTGGAGGTCGCATATGAATTGTTAACACCACATATTAAATATAAATTTTCACGTGTCTCTGAAATGCTAACATATCACAAATTGATGTGCTCTTACAACAGATTCATTGTTTACAAGTTAAATGTAACGAAAAAGAGGTCACGGGTCAAAGTTTATTCTGCAAAACTTACATGTTGCATAGTTATCTGTCCATAGATCACAAGTCCACTGAATTAGTCACATATCACAATATCAAATCATAGATTGTGCTTCATATATTACATGATGTTAATTGAAGTTCACATATGAATTGCTTATTACAAATGTTCACGTGTACGTAAAGTGCTAACAGGTCACAAATTCATTGTTTACAAGTTAACTATAATTAAAAATAGGTCATAAATAATATGCACAAATTAAAAGACATTGTGCACATCTCACTAATTCATCTGAAAATTGATTTGCTGCATACTTAATATCTGAGATATGATTGTTTCTCTAACTTTTTATTATTTTAAGCAAAGTCAACCGGCTAAATCAGTTTTGTTCAACTGACTCACGGTTGGTAGGACAGTATGTCAATTTCCTGAATAACATACATCTTTAATGACCTTTGACAATTTTTATCTAAAATAAGTATGCAAAACAGATTTTATCTGACAATATTCACATTATGAAACAATGATGAATAACAAGTTGCTTTATTACAGAGCTTAAAATCTCAAACACCTCGACAGAATAGCGAATTGTTAACAATTTTGTGAGACTCAAATTTCATGCTCCCATAAACATGACCAGTGCAAAACATTTAGCCTGCCTATCATAACATGTCAGTGAACAACCAGCAACAACAGATTCGTGGAGAGGAAGAGAAATTATCGCCTAGTGAAGCCAGCCATGTCACATTTTCAACCATTTCGGCTTGATCTTCTTCTTATCAGCAGCAGGTTTTACCTCAGGAACAACAGAGGAGATAGATACCGTGGGTTCTGGTTCCTGTTGAGAAGCTTCTGCCTGCTCTTTGACAAATTCCAGACCTAGCATTGACATGACATCCTCCTGAAGGAAGGGGCTTGATGGTGCAGAACCATCTTCACCTGAAAGAAGAAGTCGTTAAAATAAGCACAGGTTGTTGGTAGAATGACGTCCTAGAAAAATGCTCTGACGACTTTAATAGATGCTCTGTGTGTATGGGCAAGGAAGGGGGTTTTTGTCACCCAAAAAAAACCAAAAAAATAATAATAGTTAAGACTCACCTAGTTGGTGGACTTATACACTAATTTGCAACATTCCTTCTCAGTCGACATGCGAAAGTTTAGTACTAGAATTCTAGTCACGGAACCATTTTCCTCAAAAAAAAAAAAAAAAAATTTTAGGTCAACAAACTTCTGAGGATTAATGGCAGGAGGGGGGATTGAAGAAGAGGCAAACTGGTACTCTGGTGCTTTCAATGAGAATTACTTTACTTGCTCAGTTATCCCCTGGAAGCTAGATCAAGCAACTTCTGCTGGGTGAAACTGGCCAAAATGAAATACAATGTGTTTTGATTGTCTAAAAAAGTTCGGATTATTACATGCATAATGCAACACTCAACAGTCAATATTACTGTGGCTGCCTACAATAACATTGACTTGAAATACTACAACCACCCTATGTACCATTGCTCGAGGGTTTTCATGTAATAATGTGGAATGGCTTTCTCCTCCTTTTCTATGAGGAATCTCTTCCAGAGCACTCCCTTTTGAGGTTTTGACTGTGTACCCAACATAATCTCTAAGTTGTCTTGTTATTCTAGGATTCTTCATATGGAATGTTGGGAGAAATTATAAGTTGTTGAAATTGTACATTACTAGAAATGAGTGACGGACAAGTGGGTTGGATCCTACAAAACGTGTAGTTAATTATATAACTTTTGTAATTCTATACCATATCATCAATATTACCCTTTAACAATTACACAATTATTGTCATTGCTGCCTTCTCATACCCACAGATGTTGCAACAACAATCCTCGACCATATGAGGTGCAGTTTAAAGTTTTGTTTCAATGATAAGCTTTAGATTAATGAGACATAGAAACCTTTTTTAGCAAAACCAAACAGAGGCTACTTATGACAACATAATGCTAGGACCATATTAGTCTTGAATACAACATAAAACTTTTGAGACCCATAAGTCAGTATTTGACTAAGCTAAATTAAAAGCAAATGAAAGGTGTGGATTTTTTTTTTTTTTTATTTCTATTATTATTATTTTTTTGTTGGGGGGATGACATATATACTACAGAAGGTCATCATCTCATGATCTTTGGGCATATCATTTTTGGTTTTCCCTGTAGAAAACAGCACAATGTGCACTGACCTTCTGGCATATCATATGCAAAATACACAATTGCACCAGGTACAAAGCCAGCAGAATAAAAATCCTGTGATGTCTCCTTTATTTGCTTTTTGGGAGGTATTGTATCTGAAAATATATAAAAGAAAAATGAAAAGACCTTAAGCTTACGCCTTGGTATAGTCTTCAGAAAATGTAAAACAAACTTAAAAATATATATGACTTTGAGTTGAAAATGTCCTGACATAGATAAAAGGGCAATTCTGGATGAGCAACCACTTTCATGAGAAGATCAACTAGACTCTGAATTGTTTCCGATGCATGAAATGTGGCCTCTAATGTGTAATTATCAGGAAAACGAACTCTGATAACAGCCTGCTACTTAAAGAGAGTGAATTTTGTAAGATAATAAAAATCTTACTAATTTTAGAGGAAAACAAGCTGCAAATAAGCTTTTAAATTAGCAGGAAATAATCATTTCCATGTCCTTACCATCGTTATCTTTGACCTGCGACTGCGAGTAGCTTCTTCTGCTTCACGAATCTTTCGGGTCCTCAAATATTTATCTTCAGAGGTTACAAATCATAAATCTACAGATACTTAGCTTCTTTCGGTCAAGTTGCAAGAATGTATAAAGGAACCAATAACTGGAGTTTTTAAAGTCTTCAAATATTTATCTTCAGAAGGTATCAAATAGTACAAATAATTTTCAAATCATAAATCTATAGATACTCATCTCCTTTTCCTTTTCTATACGAGTTGCAAGAACATACAGAACAACCATAGTTCGGGATTTATTTTGAGAGATATTCATCTGAATACAAAGGTAGTTTTCTCCACGTGTTGGTTGTTACCTTCCTTTTTAGTAGCCATAAGCCGATAATAGTCCTCTGCTGTAAAATCATAGAAGTCATCTGGCTCCTCTAAAATAAGTGAAAATAGAACCATCAAACTTTTTATTATGTCAAAAGTTTTAAGGGAAAAAACTGTGAAACATCAGTTGGATCTTACCAGTGCTGGAAAAATCACTGGTGTTTGCAGAAGCCGTTAAGGTTTCAAACACACGGATATGCCACCCATATTTTTCTTTGGCAGCTGTAAACTTTGCCTGAATAGCCACAGAAGAAGAACTTATTCCCACAGAACCACAGAATCGAGAATTTGCACCGAAATTGATAATTAACCAATAAATTTTAATCAAATGAGAGCAAAAATCAAGAAATCCTATCACGGATTATTCATCTCAATTAGAAAAAGTATAATGCGTCCCCGATACGCATGCTATATGTATTAGAAATTTTCAAATCTTAAAGAAATTCTACCTCGATAGATTTGGAGTCCATGAAGCGAAAAATGGTAAAATCTTCCGCGCTCCGAAGCTAGTGAGATATCAATTTTCATCCCCGAATTGAGCGATCTCGAATCCCATTTTTCTCTCGGGTTCTCGTATATTCTTGGGAAAATTGCTGCGGAGCTCCCAAACCTTTCAATTTGCTACAGACTACACCTAAATCTTTTGTTTTTATGGTATCAGTCCCAAATCTTTCACTTCGACTGCAACCAAAGTTTGTCGAACAGAATCCATCCATTAATCCATTAGTCAACCCAGAAATTAAAAGTTTAACTAAAATGACAAGAAAAAAGGAGTAAAATGATTAATTTCACTAAACTCCTAAATCCAAGCGAGAAGTAAAATGGTCAATTTATTAATTTCACTAAACCCCTAAATCCATACTGTTTAGGGCAAGAAAAGGGGGAAACAAACGGTATGAATTGGAGTCCTTCTGGATGTTGTAGTTGGCGAGGGTGCGGTCGAACTCGAAGTGACCGGAGTTTATAATGGCAACCGGAGTTTTTGGTATAGTTAAAAAGAGAGTTTTTGACTTTTTCACTCACTCTCAAGCGGTCAAAAATTCAATTATTTTAATCACTGTCGAACGTGTCCTATATTTGATTAACATGGATGTGGATTGGGAATAAAAAATTACTAAATTATTACATAGCTAAAAATTTCTCTGCTGATGGTTAAGGCTTGCCAATGCTTTGTTTAATGTCTTATTTAAATATTTCTTTAATTAATTGTCTTAATTAGTTATGTATGTTATTTATTTATTGTTTAATTACTTTGTTTAATTATTTATTTAATCACTTAATTAAATAAAAAAATTAAATTTAATTTAATTTCTTATTTAGATATTTCATTAATTAATTATCTTAATTGGTTATGTATTTTTGGTATTTAAAATTTAATTACTTTATTTAATTATTTATTTAATCACTTATTTAAATAAAAGAATTATTATTTATTTTAATTTCTTATTTAAATATTTTATTTATAAATTATTTTAATTGGTTGTGTATATTATGTATGTAATATTTCATTATTTTATTTAAATAAATTTTACAGTTAATTATGTATTCTTTATTTAATATTTAATTACTTTGTTTATTTATTTATTTAATCGCTCAATTAAATAAAAAATTTATATTTAATTTAATTTCTTATTTAGATATTTCATTTATAAATTATCTTAATTAATTGTGTATATTAAGTATTTAATATTCCATTACCTTATTTAATTATTATTTTAATCACTTATTTGAATAAAAAATTAATTTTTAAATATTAAGTAATTATTTAAATATTTTAGGAATTAATTATCTTAATTGGTTATGTATATTATTAGTCATTAATATTTAATTACTTTATTTTAATTGCTTGTTAAATAAAAACATTATACCATAATGTACAAGTGCCATAATATTATTGGAGAGTTGAAAAACAGTTTTTTTGATTCTTTACTCATAAAATTTTACATATACATTATGGACATTCTGATAAATTACTATATGTAGAAGTATCCAATATTGAATTTGATTTCTCGTTTAAATATTTCTTTATTAATTATCTTAATTGGTTATGTATATTTAATTACTTTATTTAATTATTTATTTTAAAACCTATTCAAATAAAAATTAATATTTAATTTAATTTCTTCTTTAAATATTTCATTAATTAATTATTTTAATTGGTTATGTACATTGTTTATTTAATATTTCTTTACTTTAATTAATTATTTATTTAATCACTTATTCGAATACAAAATTAATACTAAATTTAATTTATTCTTTAAATATCTCATTAATTAATTATCTTAATTGGTTACATATATTATTTATTTAATATTTAACTAGAACATAAATCACATGATGCATGAGAATATCTAAAAGAGATGGAAGTCGAATATTAGGCACGATCACATTTTCAAGGCATCGAACATTATTCAAGAATGTCGAAAATATATTTCTTCTACTAAATGAAGTCAAGTGAGAAGTTCTCGATTATAGTATGTTACTCTCTATTTATAATATATTATTGGTTTCCTCAATTTTCTCTATTTATAGTATATTATTGATTACGTGAAAATTGACCCGACGAATATGTAATATCTACTTAAATTGTATGTACTCTCTATTTATAATATGTCACTGATTTCCTCAATTTTCTTTATTTATAGTATGTTATATATGTAATTAAGAGTAATTGGTTATTTATTATACAATCACATAAAAATTAAAGTATTATAAACGTTTTAAAAAAAATACTTACGTTTTAAATTATTACAATTATGGATCACAATGTAAATAATAAAAAAAAAGTTTACATTTTAATGTGTGTTTGGTTTATCAGCTCTACTCACATCTGATGCTAAAAATTCAATATATTTCAATTTGATCCGAATCCGACGAAATTAATGGGAGATGGATTTAGGGTTTAAATCTGATAACCCAATCGAGATTCAAATTCGATAATCCGTTAACTAAATAAATCAAATATGGATTCAATGAAAAATAAATAAAATATTTTTAATATGAAGAAGAGATCATGTAACGAAGGGGATTCTTATTTGTACAAATGGTACTTCGAACTTGGAACGAGCATGAAGAAATTAACGAGACTTCTTTATCTTTTGAGTTGTTCTGCCGGATCGGTCGCTCAAGATCTTTGGTCTCTACCCGGACCCGATGAAAAAAATGGGATCACTTCTTATGGACTCGTTGAGAATGATTCTGATCTAGTTCATGGCCTATTAGAAGTAGAAGGCGCTCTGGTGGGATCTTCACGGACAGAAAAAGATTGCAGTCAGTTTGATAATGATCGAGTGACATTGCTTCTTCGGCCCGAACCGAGGAATCCCTTAGATATGATGCAAAACGGATTTTGTTCTATCTTTGATCAGAGATTTCTCTATGAAAAATAGGAATCGGAGTTTGAAGAAGGGGAGGGAGAAAAAACAATGTATTGTGACAGGAATCTAGTTCTCTTGCTAACTATTTGTTCTGGCACCTCAATAATATGTTTCGTACAGGGTGTCATCCAAACTCACGATGTTATCTGTCAAGTTGGGGGTCCTCTTCGGCATAGTTATATATATTATTTATTTAATATTTAATTACGTTGTTTAATTATTTATTTAATCACTTAATTAAATAAAAATTAATATTT